CTGTGTTCGTACTCTATGAGGAGTTGCTGGGTCTTAGTAGGTAATAGCAACCTCATTTCCAAAATACCAACTTAAACTCCCTCCAGCAATGTGTTTTCATTGCTCCTTATCTGTACAGACACTTCTTATTTCAGTTTTCTAAATGAAGGGAGAGGGAGAGATAGAAACATCACTGTTGAAAGAGAATCATCAACTGGCTGCCTCCTGAATACCCCCCACTGAGTATGCAGGGCATGTGCCCCGACCTGGAATCAAATCATGACCACCTGGTTCATAGGTCCACGTTCAACCACTAAGCCACACCAGCTGGGCTGTGGCTTACCTTTTTACTCTCTTAAGTAATCTTTGGAATATTTTTTTTAAAAAAGAGGTATCTTTTGATGTCAAGAGTTTCTTACTTTTAATGTTCTTAATTTTTTCAGTCTTTTCCTTTATGGTTAGTACTTCTTGGTTATTAACTGTATTATTAGTTTTACTAGAGCATGAAGATATTCCCCTGTATTATCCTCTAGGAGATTTGTTGTTTTATATTTCATAAAACAACTGCAATTAATTTTGGGGATGTCAGCTTATTGATAAAATTTACATTTTTTCTAGCGTTTCATATAAATAGATTTCTTTCACTTAGTGTTTTGAGAGTAATTCATTTTTTTGGGGTGTGTCAGTGGCTTGTTCCTTCATTGCCAAGTGCTGTACACAAGATCACACCTTGTTCATTTACAGAGGATGGACATTTGGGTTGATTCCAGTTTGGGTTTATATGAATGAACTTGTATGAACATTCATGTATGCACCTGTGGGGATATATGTTTTCATTTCTCTTGAGTAGATATCCACCAGTAAAATTGCGGGTCTCAGGGTAAGTATACATTTAAATTGTTTTTATTAGAAATGGTCAAACTGTTTAACAGACCATTTTGCATTTCTACCAATGATGCATCAGAGATCCAATTGCTAAACTTGCCAATACTGGGCATTGCCTGTCTTTTTTTATTATTATTTTAGCAATTCTGTTTTGAATGAATAAAGGTATTTTTACAGATAAAGATGTAGAGCCACATCTTTTTGTGGTTTTATTTTTCCTTTTCCTTATGACTCACAATGTTGAACATCTTTCCACGTGCTGACTTGCCATGCATGTCTTCTTTGGATGTCTGTTCACATCTTTTGCAGTGTTTAGAAAACTGTACTGTGTGTCTCCTTTACTCTCATAGTCACAACACTTGTGAAAGTAGATGTGAGGGGTTTCCCTCCACCAGACAATTCTGTGACACCAGCTGGGTGCTCTCTAGTCCTGACACCATTTACCTGGAGATGATGTCAGATGCCAATTGTAAGTCCAGGTTGTCACCTGTGCTTCTGACTGATTGGCTATAAATTGACCCTCAGAGGGAAGAGATGTGTAGGGCAAGATATGGGGAAAGGGTGTGCAGCTTTGGTGCCCTCTCTGGGAGTGCTACTCTCCTAGCTCCTCTGCATGTTCAACAGCCTAGAACAGGGGTGGGCAACCTTTTTGTGAGTGCGTGCCAAAACCAGCAAAATCTCTGACTCAAAATTCTCCTGCGTGCCAACCCTAATTTTTTAAGAACATGTTACGCCTACTTGATATCTCTTAAGGTGTATGTATGTGAAGAACCTTGAAGAAATAATAAAATTCATTCGAGCAACAAAAACACAGTATATGATGATGAAAAATACATTTATTTTTTAATGTATACATGTACACTGATAGTCCGACAGAAAACTTTATCACTCCGTTTGATATTATCAGTGGGACTTTTGCTGCTGCATCACTGATGACAGAGATTTTACATCAGGTTTATATTTCATGACCTTCAGAGATATGCACGAGCTACTACTTTCATCCGTCAGGCTACTCCTATTATGAGACTTAACAAAATTCATCACTGAGAACAAAGATTCACAAGCGTATGTGGATGAAACCAAAACACTGGTCAGATCTAGGAAGGCAGGGAGAGTTAAGGCAGAAGCATAGAAATTGCTCTTCCCCTCTCTCGTCAATCCATGTCTATGGTCTTTAAGATAACTTGTTATGTAAAATTATTTATTTATCTAAGATGCACCTACACTGAATTTATCTGAAAAATAAAAAAGTCGATATTAAGAACAAAATTGTAAATGGAAGATTATAAGAGAGGGTTTTGCGTGCCAGCAAAAGTTACTGGCGTGCCATGTTTGGCACGCGTGCCAGGGGTTGCCCGCCCCTGACGTAGAAGCTCCCTGAACCTCATGCTATTGGGATTCTATGGAGTCCTCTCATAGGCATGATGGATCATTACCTCCATCTCCCTCGGGTGGGGGGGAGGGCTAAAAGTTCCAAGCTTATATCTAGTCACATTTCTGTCTTTCTGGGAAGCAGCCCTCATCCAGGAGCCACCCAGGAGCCCACCCACAGTCACCTCATTAGAACAAAAGACTCCTGTCACCCAGGGAGTTCAAGGGATTTAGGAGCCTTGTGTCAGGGACAAGGAGTTGGGCAGGACAGGAGCAGAGCCCAAATAGAATCAAAGATACTCCTGATTTTCTTATCACTTAAGAATTTCCAAGGGTTTCAGGAGCATTGTGCCAAGAGCTGGGAACAGAGACCAGCATTTATTTTTTATTATCTCACATGTCCCTTCTCTCCTTTTTCTTATATATTTTGGTTTTTTTGTACATAGTGTGAAATGGAGGGAAAGTTTTATTTTTAATAATTTTTAATTGATTTTTAGAGAGGAAGGGAGAGAGAGAGAGAGAGAAAGAAAAACATTGATGTGAGAGTGAAACATCTATCAGCTGCACCCCCCATATGGGGGACGGAGCCCATAAGCCAGGCATATGCCCTGACTGGGAATGGAACCGACAACCTTTTGGTGCATGAGACAACACCCAGTCAATTGAGCCACACAGGTCAGGGTGAAAAGTGCTATTTTTTTGTCTAAAGATTAGCATCATTTGTGGGAAAGCCTGTCCGTTCCCTTTGTTCTGTAGTACTTCCTTCAGAGTGAATTGAGGGTCTGTATTTCCATGGGTCTGTTTCTGGTTGTGCTCTGTCCTATTCCATTGATTTATGGAACTCTGTGCCAGCAGAGTAGGGGCACGTGCAGAAGGCAACCAATGGATGTGTCTCTCTCCCATTGATGTCTCCCCCTCTCCCCCTCTCCCCTCTCCCCCTCTCCCCATCCCCCCATCCCCCTCCCCTTCTCCCCTTCTCCCCCCTCCCCCTCCCTCTCCTTCTCCCCCACCCTCTCCCTCTCCCTCTCCCTCTCCCTCTCCCTCTCCCTCTCCCTCTCCCTCTCCTGCTCCTTCCTTCCCTCCCGCTCCCTTCCTCCTCCCCTCCCCCTCCTCCTCTGTCTAAAAATCAATGAAAAAATCTCGGGTGAGGATTAACAACAATGAAATTATTTTTACATGTTTCCCGTTATAATTGGTATCATTTTTATTACTTCCCTTTTCTAACTTGCTAATATATAGAAATGCAACTCAGTTATATATATATATCAAACTATTCAGCAGTATTGGCAAATGTACTTTTTTTTTTTTTTTTAAATATATTTTATTGACTTTTCACAGAGAAGAAGGGAGAGGGACAGAGAGCCAGAAACATCGATGAGAGAGATCGATCAGCTGCCTCCCGCAGGCCCCCCAGTGGGGATGTGCCCGCAACCAGGCACATGCCCTTGACCGGAATCGAACCCGGGACCCCCGAGTCCGCAGGCCAACGCTCTACCCACTGAGCCAAACCGGTTCGGCAGCAAATGTACTTTTTTAAATAATTTTTCTTTAGGTTCCTTTGGACTTTCTATGTATATTGGCACAGCATCTATGACTAATGACAAATTATTTTTTCTTTTCCAGTCCTTAGGCCTGTTTATTTAGCAGGGATTTGTTAATTTTATGTCTCTTTAAAAACCAATGTTTGGCCAGGCAGGCGTGGCTCAGTGGTTGAGTGTCAACCAAGGAACCAGAAGGTCACAGTTCAATTCCTGGTCAGGGCACATTCCCGGGTTGTGGGCTCTATCCCTGGTTTGGGGTGTGTAAGAGGCAGCCGATCAATGATTTTCTCTCATCATTGATATTTCTATCTCTCTCTCACTCTCCTTCCTCTCTGTAATCAATAAAAATATATTTTGAAAAAAACAAACAACGTTCATGTTTATAGATCTGTTTGCATGTTTCTTACTATTTTAGTGATTTCCTCAGCCCAAATGGGGCATGCATTTTGGCCTACTTCCTTACTCCTGTTTGCCATCCTTATTGCCCATGAGTTTTCATCTTCTTCTCATATTTCTGGATTTGTTCACTGGGAGTATCTCATAAAAACTAGGAGGCCAGGAGTTAAAATGACATTTCTTAGTGGCAGCTTCTAAGTTCCAGAGCTGGGCCTCACTGTTTTCAACAACTACATAATAATCTTAAATTGCTGAGCAGTGCTGCTGCTGACTTATTTCTTAGTATTTCTGCTGTCAGTGCTGAAGTCTGATACTCTGTGGAATATTACATTTCTGGGGCTCAGAGATTGTGCAGTGATGTTAGAGGCTGGCAGCTGGTCTGTGCAGTGCTCGATGTACTTAGTTCAGAGTCAAGCTTTTGAAGCCTCAGTTCTCCTCACATCTCTAGTTTGTCAAAAGTTGGCAAATAATATACTGTGTTTTTCAGTTGGAAAATAGTATACTGTGTTTGATTTATGAGCTTTAATCAAAATAACCAGCAGGAGTATTTTGGAAAGACAGTTAACTCTTTTTGTTTGTTTCTTCATCTGTAGAATGAAAGGGTTTTTAGTTCTAAAATTCTGCTTTTTTGCTTGGAATAAAGAATTATTCACATAGTCTTAATCAGAAATGTAACTGGAGCAGTCATTCACTTTGTACAAAGAATTTTGATCTGCTAATATGTATACTATATAATTTATAGTTTGTATAGTTTTTACAGTTGTTTTGTTAAAATGCCAACGTAATATTCATTCTGTTTCATTACGGTGTTACTTTTTAATTTTATAGAATTAACACTGAATCCTCCGGAAGGAATTGTGGCAGGTGAGACACTAAAGGTAACCTTTTTCTAATTTACTTTTAATAGCCAAAGCTGCCTTCAAAGTTACAATGTGGCTATTTTTCTTTTTCTGCAGGCCCCATGAATGAAGAGAATTTTTTTGAATGGGAGGCATTGATCATGTAAGTTAATCCTATGTGTTGTTAGTCTTTAAGACTTTACTGGAAATTAGACCTGCGCATCATGTTTGGCAGTGCAACTGTCCTAAGAAGTGTTGATCAGAAAAAAGGGTGTGTCTGAAATTTAGCTCTTCTCTAGTCTGATAATCTGAAGGTGGAAAACACAAACATTTATCCATAAGAAATGAAAGTGTTTCCTTAGCACCACCAGTAAAAGGTTTAGTAAGCATTATATATTTGTAGAGTTTAAGATAAATGTTGAATGGTCTGTGTTGTGCTGAATTAGTTTCAAACAGCATGGGTGGCTTTGGCTTCAAGGACTTCTGAGAGTCAAGGCTTTGAGGTTGAAAAGGCTCCTTCGTGTGGGGGTGGCCACCCCACGTGCGCACCAGGACTGGTCTTGCCCTCTGCCTCTCCTGTGTGCCTTGTCTGGCCTTCCATCATCCCTGACCGGAAGATACGCTCAGTTCTTCTGAGATGACCAGTGCGGTTCCTACCCAGTCTAGAAAGACTGTAACTGTGTTTCATGTGCAGTGATGTTGCTTAAAGAGCAACAAATAGACCTCTGACTCTAGAGTCTTCTATGGCTCTATGACCCAGGCTCTTTGTTTGCCTTCTTTATACCTTAGATGTACAATTTTTTGGCTATTCTTAGACTTAGTGTATTTCAAGAAAATGTGGTCAGGTAACATTTAGGTAGTTGAGATTTAAAATCAGTCCTCAGTTTTCTCATGAGATGAGGTCTTCAACTAGCTAGGAAGTTTTCCCGTTGGATGCAGTGCCCTAATGGGAAGGGACTGGGAGAAGCTTGAAGCTGCTGCATCAAGAGTGAACTCTGATTTCCGGATGTAATTTTAAATGTAATCAGACTTTCTAAAATTTCCTGGCATTTGTATGACATTAGTTCCTAATATTTACATGTTAGTTTGAGAAACAAGTTGCTGCGGTCATCTATGAGGTTAGATTAATACTAATATGTGAAAATTGATGTGAAGATAAGTTTTTTTATAAGCAAAAATGAGTAAACACTATCCAGAGACAGTACAGCATGCTAATGTTTCCTGATCATTTGTAATATCTTTTTTGCTTGGGTCCATGATACCCATAGTTTTCCTGTGTTCAGTGTTTCTGGCATGAGCATGTCTTTGCAGCGTGTATTTGTAACTGCATTGTGTCTTTCACCCCACAGCATGGGCTCCGGGACAGCAATGACCTACATTCAATGGAATACTGTACTCATGTTAGCGTAGCTGTTTGTATTTTTAAAGAAACAAGATAGCACACTGTAGGAACTTGTTCTGTAACCTGCTTTTCTCATTTACTGTATCATGTGCACTCCTTTGTGTTAACAACGACACATACACCAGGCAGCAGACCTGGTTGTAGGGACAGAATTTTGGAAGTCCCTCTGAGTGCAGAGGTCTGTGGGCACCTGGTAGGCCTTTTGTCTCTGGGAGGTAGTGACTGTGCACAGCCCAGGAAACTATTTAGAAGCCCTTAAAGGGACACATGAGCCTCTCACTATGGTTTTTCAATAGTGTTTATTGTTTAAAATCTGTTAGGGTAACTATTACTAATTTTAGACAAACAGTATAAAATTAAATCAATATTATGAAAACCTGTCTTAAAAAGTAATTAGAACTGTTTTTTAGGTAGAGCACTTCTGTGTTTGAATAAAGCTTTTGCTTTAATGTGGAATTCCCCTGCTTCAGGATCTTGTGAGTTTGTGGGTTTTGGTCCTGTTCCAGATCCTTTCACAAACAAGAGGCCGTTCACCAGTGTGCTTAAAACATCTATTAAGGAATTAACTGTCCTCCCATTGATTCGGCTCACCCTCCTGTCTTGGCAGACAGCTGGCTGAGTTTCTCTACTTAGTGATAGGTTTTCTTTCTTTCTTTTTATTCTTTGACTGTTTCTAGAGTTTCTCCCGTACCCTAGTGTTTGTAAAAGTCATGCTTGTCTCATTTTCCATTTTGCAGCTTACCTTCAGAGCCTCCATCCCAAATGTGCCGGGAAGAAAACATCTTTTCACATGTCCCAGACACACAAACACTGAGAGCCTGTTATTAGGGTACTTGTTCACAGACACAGGCATAGTAGGGGTGACCCTGAACCTCCATCCTGAAAGAACAAGACTGGGGGACTGGGGTGGGAGCACAACAAATTAATGAACAAAGAAGAACTAAATAATAAGATCACCGCTGCTCGTTGCCCGGTCAATAGGGGAAAATAACTCTGGTGACTCTCTGCGGAGCTTATGTTAGAGTTGAAGCCTGTATTCAGTAAGAAGGGCAGGGGCTTCCTATCAGACTGAGGGAGGTGGGCCAGCAGGGCATATGGCTGCCATGGCTTTATGGTCTTGGGCCAGTCACTCTGCTTCTCTTACCTTCACTTATCTGGATCAAAACAAAGAAGTTCAGCACCCTTTTCTTTCTTTATTTAATTTTTATTGATTTTTTTTTTTTTTTGAGAGAGAGGAGGGAGATCTATTGGTTGCCTCCCGTATGCACCCCAACCCACAACCTAGATATGTGCCCTGACCGGGGATCAAACCCACAGCCTTTTGGTATATGGGACGACGCGCCAACCAGCTGAGCCACTTGGCCAGGACTTTAGCATCCATGAACTAGTGGCTTCATGTTCTAAGGTCTGGCTGTGTGACCTCTTTGGCCCCTGGCTGTGGGTGTGGGGAGCTATCTGAGATCCTTAACTGTGGAGGTTGGACATGCTCTTTCTTTGGAGCCCTGTAGTATGGGGAACAGGACATCTGTTATATCTTCAATGGCTGGAAAAAAAATGAAGTTCCTAGGAATTTTGCCACCTTGTTTCTGTCCTTCCCCAGCATTCTTGAAGTAGTTGGCAGTGGTGACCTCCCTGCCTGGTCCATGGCCTAGCTGCTGTCCCCTCTCTAGACCAGGGGGATCTGTCGGTTGTGATAAAATGACAAGGACTTCCTCTTCCTGAATGGTTGGGGACCCTTTGCTGACTCTACCCCATGTTACTATGGCACATTTGGGTCCAAGCTGGGTTACCACCGTGGGTGCAAGGATCCCCAGGCTGTTGCTTCTCCTTAGGACTGGGCTTGACTTATATTAGGTGTGAACATCATGGTCACAGTAGCCACCCTTACATTAGGCTTTCTTGTTGACAGAAAAGTATCATAGAGCTCTCATGGGTGTTGTGCTACTAAAACAGACCTGAGACATTAAGATAGATGCTTATAATTTGTATTGTATTCTCTGACCAAACAGTCCCAAGCCCAAGAATTTCTTCAATAGAAGTGCTATTGTGATGATGATCTCAGTATGAGCCCTGGCCAGCTTGGCTCAGTGGTTAGAGTGTTGGCCTGTCCACCAGGAAGACACAATTTCAATTCCCAGTCAAGGGCATGTACCTGGGTTGCAGTAATATGGACATGTCATTGTCCAGTGTAATTTACAGATCATCCATACAGTGGAATGCCATGTGGCTCTGGAGGGGCTCAGGCAGAATCCACATACTGCCCTAGAGATGTGTCCACAGTGGCTATGGAGAGGAAGAAGCAAATTATGGAACAGCAGGTCTAGACCAGTGTCAACTGGGGTTGACCCCCCCCCCCCCCCCCATGGGACATTTGGCAGTGTCTGGAGACATTTTTGGTTGTCACAACTGAGGGGTAGGGGGAGCTCCACTACTGGCATCTAGTGGGACACTGCTAAACACCCCACAGTGCAAGGATGGCCTCTAACACAGCACGGGGCTGTCTGGCCCAAGATGCAGCAGTGCTGAGGTCGAGAAACCCTGGTATGGCTTGAGGCGTTGCCCCAGTGTAAAAATTTTCACAGCTTTGTTGAGATGTAATTTATATACCATAAGTTGTCCTGTATTAAGTGCATAGGTCAGAGTTTTTTAGTCATCATCACAATCCAGTTTTAGAACATTTCCAAGAAGGTCTTCATGCCCATTTGCAGTCAGTTTCCATCCCCACCTCAGCTGCAGGCAGCTCTACTCTCTACCTTAATAAGTTTGCCTTTTCTGGACTTTTCCTGCAAATGGAATCATAAAATACCTTGTCTTTTGTGTCTGGCTTCTGGCACTCAGTGTACTGCATAGGTTGCATTCCTCTGTGTCACAGAGTGTCAGTGGTTCCTCCCTTTTTGCTGCTGAGTCGTGTGATGGGCCCCATCTGATGTGTCTGCTCATCAGCTGATGGACACTTGGGTGTCGCCATGTTTGGGCTAGAGTGCTGCTGTGAACTGTCTGTGTGGACATGCTTTTCTGTTTCTTTTGGTTGGATACGCAGGAGTGGAGTTGCTGGAGGATAGAATAAATCTGTGTTTAACAATTTAAGAAACAGTCAAACTGTTTTCCACAGTAGCTCACTCATCATTTTATATTCCTACCAGCCGCAGGTGAGGGTTTTCATTTCTCCACTCTCCCCACACACACACTTGGTGTTTTCTGGTGTGAAGTGGGATCTTATTGTGGAATTTATCTGCTTTTCCTTGAGGACTACACGTGTTGACTGGGTTGTATTGCCGGTTCCCCTCATGGCCTGCCAGGCTCTTTGGGACCCACCTGGAAGTGGAAGGTGTTATGAAGCCGTGTGCCTTTCTTTTTTATGCTTCAGGCGGTTATGTCTTTGGAGCGTAACCGTCCTTAGTAATCCAGTTCAAGTTTAAGTACTAATGAATGGGTTTACAATCTTTATTATTTAAACCCTTGTCACATGTATGAGACATTTCGTTCGTGCGCTGTGACAAAACTGAAAAAGGGAACAGCAAAAGCAGCTTCTTCACCACCTGCCCCAGCTGGAGAGCCATGTGGGCTGTGGTGCTAGGACATGCCCAAGGGCAGGTGGCTCACACCACGCGCCTAGCTGCACAGGTGATCGGTTGTTATGGATGGTGCAGAATTGGGGTGCCAGGACTCCAGGAGGAAGCAGCAGGCAGCTGTCCCTCAGGCAGAGCGGACACTATGAACAGTGGTCAGGGTTAGACCTCCATGTTGCTCTCAGTATTTGCTCCTCAGCATCTGACTCACCTGAGGTAGTCATCAGAGGAGCGATTTGGAACAATTTCCTTTATAGAGTGCATCGTGGGCATTTTGCTTTAATACTCGTCTCAACAAATAAATAAGTACCTATCTCAGAGCTCTGAAATAATTTAGGCCATTATTTTAATTAATAAGATAAAAAATAATTTTCAGGCTTTGAAGAATGTATAGTTGCCTCAGATAAATAAAATGTTTTGTTTCCTTGGTTTTTCTTGTACATTTTTTCCCCTGAAGATTTTCAGATGAGGCATTTAGTGAAGAAGGGAGGCTATCACTTCTTTATTGCCTGGAGTATGGCACTAAAAGTTGTCCAAAAATAATACTAATTATGTCTCTCTGTCTTGCTTCAGGAATTTACTCGCTAGTGTTTTCCATCAGTCAGCTGGCATGCCACTGCCCACATGGGCCCAGCTGTAGGCTTGTCCCAGGCACCAGGACCTCTGGAAGAGAAAGGATCCCTGGTTTTAAACCAGTAGCGAACCAGAACATTTGAAAATCACTTTGATATTTAAGATGTGGGAACACTTTAGGAAATGTTTGATCATGTTTCTGAGGCTGCAGACGATCCAGTGGATTTTTTATTTTAAAGAAAGCTCTATTATGAGAAACAAAGAACTGTTATCAGAGTATTGAGCAAGTACCATTTGGCTCATTCCAAAAACATCACCCAGACATTTTTTTCCTCTGCTAAATCAGAGGTGCCAGAAAGACTGAAGCACTGGCACGCATTCCTGACATAGTAACACTGTTGCTTTTAAAGATAATATCTCTGTTTGCCCAGCCTCTGAGTTAGCAGTTTGAACTGTTCTACTCTTAATTCTGGGACTGAACTGATTTAAGACCTTGACTAAGTCATTTCATCCTTCGATATCCCAGCTTTGCTTAAGTGAAAGCAGCACTTCCTGACAGCTTTCATCAGAAGGACATAAGGAGTAAGGACAGAGTGGCACTTCCGTCTGCTTTGAGGTCTTCTGGAAAGGAGCCGTGGGCCGATGGGAAACCTCACGTGTGTGGTCTGTCCTGACCCTGTGTGCAGAAAGAAAGGCTTCCAGGGCACCATTCAGGAAGAGCACAGCTCCTGGCGGTGGTGGCCTGCAGTCCTGTCCCAGGCGTCTGCCTTCCCCTGCAGCTTTGCTGGGCCACCTCTCTTCCAGGAGCCCACCCCATTCCTGCCTCTTCTTGTGGCTTTCCTGTCCTGGTTTCAGGCCAAGGCTCTGGGCGCTGTTATGCAGTGACACCCTCCAAAACAAAGTACCTATTCACTGTGGCTTCTCCGTAAAGTAGCAAGGACACAGCTTTCAGAATCAAGATTAGCCTCTTCAATTGAAAATATTTAGCTCCACTGAACACTTCTTGCGTTGTTCCTGTTTTGAGCATTTTACCACAGCCCAGCCTCCAGGCTTGTGACTCGGTCCTGGTGTCTACTATGGTGGTGTCATTGAAAGCCCTTAGTGTTGGCACCAAATGAAAATAAAGCTCTTTTCTCCCTCCCTCCCTCCCTCCCAGTCTCCAACTTTAAACACGTATGCTGGTGTTTCTCAGTTGGTTGGGCATCATCCCATGCACCCAAGAGGTCACTGGTTCGATTCCTGGTCCAGGCACATGCACAGGCTGAAGGCTGGATCCCTGGTGAGGAGCGTGCAGGAGGCAGCTGATTGATGCTGCACTCTCACATAGATATTTCTCTTTCCCTCTTCTTCTTTCATCTCTTCTCTAAAATCAATAAACTATTCTTTAGTAAACATAACAAACAAATAAAACAAAACAATACACTGAATTCTTGACTTCAGGTTCAGGACGGCCTGAATCCTAAGCAGACAAGTAAGGACCTCCACGCCCAAACCTAGTGGCAGCTCAATTGGCCTCCAGCGGGACCTCCTACAGCACCGCAAATTTCTCCTCTGAAAACCTCCATTCCTATTTTCCAGACCACTTCCCCGACTCTGGGAGGACTTTCCCTCTATGGCCCTTTCCCCCATACCCCCTTGTCCTACCCGTCGACAACTGTCTTATCCACGGAGATCCATAACCTCACTCAACGACCAGCTTCGAAGATGGTTCCGATTCCCTCCCTC